ATGCCAACATAAGGAGATATAATCATGGAAATAAGGAGAAATTCAAAAGTAATGAAAAATGCCATGTTAGAATATGAAAAGAAATTGTAGCATAAGTAAGATTCGCAAATATACATTAACAATTTGGTTAGAAGATCATTATCTACCGACACACTACCATGCACGTGGCATGGAGTTCAATTTCGGCCAGATGGGCTAAGCCGTCTCATCCCAATGTATGTGGGTTGATGTGGTACTGGGAAACCACCATGTGCATGGCATAGCATCCGATCTCGGCCCGATCGGCTAGGCCGTCTCACCACAATGCCATGTGGGTCGACATGGTATTTGTAGCAATTAATTCATCCCAGTTAAGGGGAAATAATCTCATCATAGTACTAAGGGGATTTGTCCCCCATTCATATCCTACACCGGCACGAATAGTTTTGGGGTTAGGCCTTTACAATCTGCCCTTCCCTCGGTGACCTAACGATACTCCCAAAATTTCAGATAAAACATTTCATTAAATCTTTTTTCCTTTGATTTGTCCCTTAGGATATACATCATCATTATCTTTTGGCACAAATGGACACATTTCATATTTCCTACTTTTACTTGCCATGGGTCATCATAAAACATCAATGATATGTAAAACATTGGAAAATCATAGTTTTAAATACGTGAGTAATAAGAGCCTTAAACACATTGAATTACTTCCAAAAGGGGAGCATAGTGATCTTCAATTAAAACATGAATTTAAATCATAAGCATTTGATACAACAATCATACTTGAGACATTTTCTCAAAGGGGAGCATAATATGATAGGAGCAATTGGAACATGACTTGAGTACATAAGCATTTGTGGTAAATCAATCATTGGAAGCAATTCAGAATAATAGGAATAGGAGCTTGAACAAACCATGCTTGGAATATATAGGGGATTCATGGATTCTGATTCTATTTAAGGAGTTTAGCCAACATACCTTGATTAAGCTTTCTTTAGAATCATTACGGCGTTTCACTACTCTTAGCAACCTTAATATACATTAACATAATTCAATAGAATCACTATTAGAAGGATTCTCATGATATAGGTCTTTTAGTCATTCCGTCAAACACCTAATATGCGAAATCGACTATAGAGTTCTACAATGGAATTTCTTCACCCCTCAACCAATTTCCAAGCAAACAATTCACCCATAATAGCTCAACGACCTCCATACCACCTCCATTGGCACATGTATGCCCAACAACCCCCTCCCAACTCATGAAGCGCACCTCTCATCCTTCACATACACCTAAATTCGAGGTTGAGGGCTTATGGCTTCCGATCACCATCCCATAAGACCAAACATAATAAACTCTTACTTAAACCCATTAGAAAACTTTGCATAAAAGATTAGGGGCAAAATATTACCCTGTTAGTTGAAGACCTTGTGTGTATCTTCATCGAATCTCCAAGATTGAGCAAGGATTTGAAGAGTAGTAGGCTTGGAGCTTCTCCCTCTCTCTCTAAATTGGTCCCCTCTTTTTAAAATAACATGATTCCCCTCTAACCCTTTAAGGACTTATATCAAAATAGAGTCGGGTTAGAAAATTCTCAAAAATAACACTCCGAGTCAAATCCGTATTCACGGAAGGTACCGCAAAAGGTTATGCGGACCGCAAAATAGACCGTGAAATGGTCCTACAATTCTAGGTTGGATCTGGTCAAGTCCGCAATGGATCCGCGGTCTGTGGAACAATTCTGCAATCCACATATCAGGCCGTGAAATCTCCTTCCAAGAATTCCCATGTTGAATCCGCGATGGATATGCGGTTTGCATAACCCACCGTGAAACGACCCTTATATATAAGTTGCTTCTAACTCGTTTCACGATGGTTCTGCGGTCAGCGGAACCATTCCGCGGTCCACATAATTGATCGTAGAATTTCCATTTTTTGTAAATTCTTCTACCTAGCTCACGATGCATTGTACAGTCCATAAATCTGTACCGAGCATATTAACTTGACTTTGGCACTATAAAACCTTAAATTCTTGGAGATCTTTTACTAGGCCTTATCATATACTACTCGCACACCCTCTGGTTCCTACCTCAATCTCCCGGCTAGCCATAGCCTTTCTAGAAGAAGGCATCTCTGTACAACCTACATTAGAACATACGTTAGACTAAACTCCTTTGACTCTGCTCTACAACACGATTTAGATCTGAAAGAAGGGTAACCAACTCCTAAATGCCCTGTAGCCTCCTGTTTGTAAATGTGGTACACAACACATCCATAAACAAGACTCTACTAGACACAACTTGTAGACTCCCTAAGACAGACCTGCTATGATACCAAGTTTGTCACACCCTAATTATGGGGAGGCGATACCGGCACCTGGTGCCTTACTTGACCGAGCGTACCAACTGAAACTTATGTTATATGAACATACATGACTTCTTAGGCTTCTGACATATCTTAGGCCGGCAAGGCCATAACTTATGAAAATCTGAGGAATGAATAGCTAATCTCAACTGAACGAGAAGCAACCCATATATATATATATATATATATATATATATATATATATATATATATATATATGGGCCGACAAGGCCACCATGCTGACATATGTACACATAGGACATGTCTACAAGCCTCTACAGAATACAACTGTACTATGCTCAGGACAATAAAAACTCTACACCTGGTAACTCCGGATGATATGGAGCTTACCAATCAAGTTATACACCGACGCGGCTATTGCTAAGGCCTACCACTCTGACTATCAGGACCTGCAAGATTGAAATGAATCATCCCTAGAAAAAGGGGCGTTAGTACGAAATAAGGCACCAAGCATATAAGGAAACTGAAACTGAATTAACCTACATGATATACTAAATATAATCTGAGGGGTCAATGATAATCTAGAAACATACTTACCTATCTCTGACTCATATCATATAAGTAATATCAAAATAAACTATCCGACCTAATATAGGGCTCGGTGTGTAAATGTATAGCCACGTAGCCATAGGTAAATGTATAGCCCCGTAGGCAACTGTATAGCCCCAAAGGCATCTGTCTAGCCCCGAAGGCATGGTGCGCATCTGTCTAGCCACGTAGGTGTATAGTAATATAGTAAATGATACATGTATACTCTCTATTTCTCAACTAGATATGGAACAATGCTAAACTATTTAGGAATTCCCAACAAGGGATAGCTACATCAGGAGCAAGATGGGATAACACAACATGGGATCCTTACGAATGACTTTTCTTGGGTATACTATGTTCTGAACTTACTTAACTATGGATTGATGTTATTGAATGAAGAGAAATAGCTGTTACACACATTTCTTCTATTTCACAACAACTCAATACACTTAACTTGAGCAGCAACTCAATCTATAATCAATGATAATGATGCTATCGTCAAATTACGAATGATACAACTATTATATATCGAACGACAAGCTTATTCTATAACAAAATGGGCAGCATCTCTCATGTTTCTTTTACAATCCTTAGGTTCACAATAACAACAACAATCACAATAATAAACAACTACATATTTAGCTCTTCAACCAACACAAACGACACGTCGAGCGACAAGCTCGGGTTATAGCTAGTAAAGCTACACTTTAAACCTTTCTTTCTTTCAAGGTACATAGGAACAACATTACAATATACTCAAGTCTTACTTCATGATTTCCAGCCATAAGAAAATATAAAAGCAACTCACAAAAAGTCCATCAAATACAGTAAGCTATATATCACTTTCGATAGCCGATTCCGCAAGTTCTTACTTCAACAACTTAACCAAGACTTAGATATGCTCAAATACATGTAGAAGAAGGAGATTCTTACCTTACACAACAAGAACAACCCCTAACTTGAGCTTACTTCAACTTGAAGAAATCCACAAATCTACTACAATAAGAAAAGAACAAGCTTGTACGAGTACTATGATCTTTCCGAAGGAAGAATTACCTCAAACATTTTGTGAGATTTGCTTGAATGATAGGGAGATGCTTTGGGAGAATTTAGGGAACTTAGGTTTCTGTTTTGGATAAAAAAATAAAGTAGGTAAAGGGCTTCCCCGCTTTATAACATCAAAATATAATCTCCACCGCCTATGTGGGTCCAAATAGAGCTTCCTGCACAGTCCGGCTAAAACACGCATATCTCCCTACTCGATATCGTATCGATGAACGGTTTAATGTGTTAGAAACAAGACTTGTAGACCTTCAATTTGGTGGGTGGATCACCCTGTAAATCCAAGTATATTGAGAGAAAAGCTCAGTGATATCATACCCAAATTTCAGTAAACTTATGAACGTAACTTGCGATAACTTTTGTTGGCTTTTATTTTACAACTTGCTTGACTTCAATACTTATCATACGACTCAAATACCTCATCACAAGACCTTTTTAGTATATTAACGACTTCTACTATTACTCCAAAAGTATGGGTTATAATATCGGCCCGTACCTCCAATGTCAATTCGTAAGTCACTCCATAAGTCGAAAAATTTCGCCAAAACTTATTCTTTTTTTTTTCAATTAACTTCTAACCCCTTTCAACATTTACTTAACATTTATTAAATATGGTATAAACACTTATAATCCTCAAAGATACTCTTACCCTTCGATCTCACATTGACTAGCTTACGATGCAACTTAACGTGTGAAAATACAGGATGTAATATTAATTTAACAACCTTGGACAACAGTGAAGGGATTAAATACCTTAAGAAAATACAGTCTGATGTTGGGGTCGAAACTTTCATTTTCTGGTTCCAATTTGACTTAACAACATTTACTGTTTTGTTTCAGCTTGTTATAATTTGTTTTACTGATTTTTTTTTATCACAGGGATAACAAAAATCTGAGATAATTTGAAGAACTAACATCGGCATACACCGTATATAATGCCATATCTCATAAATTCAAACGTGCATTAACATCAACCTTATTATAGCAACCCATGTTTGTAATCATATGTTGGGAATTGAGGAATGACGACATGTCTCAAAATTTATTGTCTCCCGTCATAAGAAAGCAGAAAAAAGAAAAGAGGATTAGCAGCTTACAGGAAGGCTCTAGGAAGTCAGGGTATAAAGAAAGTTGCGATATCAGTCAAAATCTCCAGCCGGCGAGACGGCAAGACATGTTTTCTCTCACTTGACTTTGAAAAAGAATGTCTACATATTGTAACATTTGTCATTTTACAAAGAAAAATAGCCGTCCCGCATGTACTTTTCGCGCTAGTTTACCAAAGTCAAAGACTCGTATTTCCGGTATCTTCAACTTCAGCCCTCCAAATTTCATCAAAAATGTAAAAATACCAAATTTTCATCCTTCACTGGCCATCAATGGCTACCTCCACCCCTTTAGACAACATCCTCCGCCACACCACCGTGTTCCTGTTGGATATCCTTTCGCAATCTGACCTACGTCTCCGTCTTTTCTCAGTTTTTCTTCAACGAATTCAATCCGATAAGCCCCTCAATCTTGCAGCTGAAACTATAGAAAATGCAGTTTCCACTTCCAACTCTTCCATCAAATCTTCCTCTCTCAGACTGGCGGAAAAGATCCTTCTTTCTTATTCTGAAAACCCATTTTCTTCCTTTTTGTTATCCCTCGTTTACACTCTTCTGCGCAGACCACATGATGCTGCTCTTAGTCTTCTTGATGTGTTTTACACCGACCCTTCAATTGCAAGATTGGAAATTGCACCCCTTGTTTTTGAAGAGCTATTTCTCATTCATTTTATTCCCATTCTTCAATGGTATAATGAGCAAAGGTCAAGAATTATGTCTTGCATATCACTAAACTCGGGTTATCATGGCGATGATGAGTCAGTGGTGGTTTTAGCAGCTACGAATTCATTGTCAGCTATGAGTGGAGAGCAAGCTTCGGAGTTGAAAGATTTGGAGAGAGAGTATGAAGAAATTCTTGATGAGAATTGTAGGGTTTTCGCTCAATATTTCAAGGAGATTTTGCGTAATAAAGATGAGTGCAAGTTCACGGATCCGCCATCCGTAATAGTACAACGGAATGAAAAGAGTGAATGCTATTTTGTGTTTAGCAAAGATGAGGAGATGACCAATGAAGAATTCGGACTGAAAAATGGACGGTATTATAATGTAATGTTTTACTATTACTTAGAGTTCTACCTTAATTTAGTTTACTGTGCATTTTTTAATCTCATGATTATGCTTTATTGCTTAAATTTTTTAACTTTTAAAAAAGGTTAATCAATTCTTTGCCATTTAGAGAAACTTTACTAACTCTAATACCTCTCCAAATTTCATTTGCTTCTCATAGTGGAGTACTAGAGTGTCACGACCCAAGCCCATAGCACGTATTGTCCGTTTGGGGTCTAGGCTCACGCGAATTTGTGCTTTTTGGGTTATGACATCTCGAAGTACGTGTACCGTGTGAACTTGTATCATTCCTTATATAACTCTTTACTTTCCTCTCCCATTCTGATGTGGGATTTACCTAAGGTGACATATGCACCCCTCTTCAGAAGCATGCTAGCCTAGAAGTCTACTAGTTCTATTTGACCCGCCCTCTATGAGGGGCATCACTTGGAGTGTATATGTCTCTAGGACTAGCTAATGGAAATTTCTAGGTCATATTTACCGTGTAGGTTTCTAGCTCTACTTTAATAAACTTTTGGCACTGGCTGGTCCAGAATTTAAATGATGTGGTTTTTAAGTTGACATAATTTGTCCTAAAATATATATGTAACTCTATATCTAAAATTATTTTTCAAATACACATATAAGGTTCGATGCCGAAGAGTTCTACCGAACGTGCAAACTGATTGTTGGATTTGTCACTACCTTGTACAATTTACTAGATCAATTTCAACGACTATGAAATTTTCTACCCTCTAATTTAGACCAAAAGCTTCTTTGTCTCTATTACACTCACATTATTCATTTATACAGATTCCATTAAAATAAGAATCTGTTCTGTCTGCACTTCCTTGGCTGTGCGTGCTCGCTCATTTTTTACTCCGTCCATCCTGAATAATGAACGAAATATGAATTTTGAATAGTTTCAATATGATTGCTTGTTCACAACGTAGAAGTCAATATCCGATCTACTAAGTTAAACCTATTCTTAGTCTGCTGCTTCTGCTAAGGGGCCTTGATGATAAACAACTGCTAATAAAGCTTTTAAGAGCTTTGTTAACTATTTCTACGGTTTCAATTAGTGTGGCGTAATTTGACCGAACAAGGAGTTTAAAAAAGAAAACTACATGCTATGAAATTTCTGCAGCTATAAGTATGTCATTATGGGTAATATGAAAAGTTTAAAATAAATTCTTTCTAAATATTGAAATGTGTTATCCTTTAATTTTGAATGGACTAACAAGGAAACAGTGACGTAAAATGAAAAGGAGTGAGTAAGATTTGGGCTCTTTAATTTTCAGTTTCTTTTGCCAAGAACTTAGTCTATGGAAAAATCAGATTATCCTGCATAAATTAGAAGAATTATATTCTCCATGACATTTTTAAGTCTATGGAAACATCCTATGAATCAACAGTGTAATTTCTCACTAAACATTATTTTTCTATGATTCATTAGTCTTCTATACTTGTGTGCAGCCAATATGGGCAGATTCTGCCGAAGGAGACAAGTCGTTCAAATTCAATATGTGTAGCAAGAATTTGTCCAAGTTTCCATCATTTTATCCCGAGAGAGTTTCTCTGAAAGTTTTTACAAACCAAAGATCATCATCAAAAACAAAGCCTTTCGGCAATTCCAATTTTGATTCTGTACCTAAGTCTTGTTCAGATGAAAATTCCAATGATCCTTATTCCACAGAATCTGAAGCCAAAAATGAGGTAATCGATACTAACAATAAAATGAGAATTAGTCTGCAGACAGATACACCTATGCATATTGTTCTAATAATTAATTAAAGTATTCCTTGTACATGTCTTTTAGGACATGAACAAAAGAATGGCATTGCTCAACACAAGGCAGAGGCAAAACTTAAACGAAAAGCAGCCTATTTTGGGAGAATCAAGCTGGTAGGTATTAAAAAATGACTTGCTAGAAATCTGCATTATATTTTCTTGGACATGATATTTATATGACTTTTATCACTATACCAGCCATCCAGATCCTTTGATGGAAAACTATGATAATATGCAATCCAGTGGAAAAAATACACCTCCAAAGGATTTTGTATGTCCTATAACTACTCATGTAATTGAAGATCCAGTGACTCTTGAGACTGGTCAGACATATGAAAGAAAGGCAATTCAAGAATGGTTGGAAAGAGGAAACTCCACTTGCCCAATCACACGGCATAAGCTACATAGTACTCAACTACCAAAAACAAATTACGTGCTCAAGCGCCTCATAGCAAGCTGGCAGGAGAAGGACCAGAATTCAGCTCTTGTTCAAACGAAACTGATTGCACCGACTGAATATGAACCAGTGAAGAACAAGCCTGGAACCATCAGTGAGCTTCGTCGTGCAATAACAAGCCTCTGCACATCAGAGATTTTGAGAGAGTCTGAAATGGCAGTGCTCCAAATTGAGCAGTTCTGGAGAGAAGTTCAGATGGTTGATATTCAGACAATGCTCTCAAAACCTCCAGTTATCAATGGTTTTGTAGAGATCCTTTTCAATTCTGTTGATCCCCATGTTCTGATGGCGACAGTATTTCTCCTTTCTGAGCTGGGCTCAAGAGATAATGGTGTCATCCAAACACTTACCAGAGTTGACACTGATGTAGAATGCATTATTGGTCTTTTCCAGAAGGGGTTACTGGAAGCTGTTGTTTTGATCTATCTTTTGATTCCATTGATTGGGAATCTTACAGACATGGAATTGTTGGATTCTCTTTTGAAAGTTCTCATGAGTAGGGAGGAAGACTTGGTTAACATGTTCATGAAGCCCAAAGCTGCTTCAGTGCTACTTCTGAGACATATACTTAGAAACACAGACGATAAAGGAGCTCCCAAAATTGCTAAGAGGTTGACTTCAGCAAAAGTAGTTGAGGCCATTGCAGGCAGCTTGGAAGCTGAACTAGAGGAAGAACGACTATCAGCTGTCGTTATACTGTTGAGATGCATGCAATTGGATGGAAGATGCAGGAATATTATAGCCGACAAAGTAGAACTAACTCACCTGTTAGAGAGCTTCATTGGAGCAAACGATGCAGATAGGTTTGAGATTGTCCAATTCCTATCTGAACTAGTCAAGTTAAACAGGTACTTAAGTCTAACTATATGAAATTCCATTTCTGTAGCTTGTTCAAAAACTTTTTACTCACTATATTGTTTACTCCAGGAGGACACTTAATGAGCAAGTGTTGCACATAATTAAGAATGAAGGTAGCTATAGCTCAATGCACAGCCTCCTCATATATCTTCAGACAGCTCTCCCTGATCAGTGTCCTGTTGTGGCTGGCCTACTTCTCCAACTTGATCTGCTTGTACGAGTCTCAATTTATCTCTATACCATCCTTCCCCTAACTCTCTGTGTTTATTCGAGCCATCACATCTATGACATAACTTGCGTGGTTTTGAACTGCAGGCAGAACCAAGGAAAATGAGCATCTACAGAGAGGAAGCTGTAGATGTCCTAATTATGTGTCTCAGAAATTCGGATTGTCCTGCCTCTCAAATAGCTGCTGCTGAGACAATTTTAGCACTCGAGGGAAGGTTTTCCTATTCTGGGAAGCCTCTTATCAGGGAACTTCTACTTAAACGTGCAGGACTTGATGGGACAGATAACAATGTGGCACAAAATAAAATTAGATATCCATCTAATGATAGTCAAGAAACAACGGTCAGCTTCATATCTAGTAGTATTCGAAAATCGATGATACAAGATATATGCCAAATGCTAAATTTCATTCCTCTTCTTCTGTTTCGTAAAAATATTGTTGTAGGAAGAAGAGAAAGCTGCTGAGAACTGGGAGAGGAAAATGGCATTTTCTCTGGTCAGCTATGAATTTGGATTACTATTTGAGGCTTTAGCAGAGGGCATGAAGAGTAAATCAGCAGATTTATTTTCTGCATGTTTTGTGTCTTCTACTTGGCTGGTATACATGCTGACCGCTCTTCCAGACACTGGAATTAGAGGAGCAGCAAGAGTATGCTTTCTCAAGCAGTTTGTATCAATATTTAAGTCTTCCAGAGACACAGAGAATAAGGCACTTAGCTTGCTTGCACTGAGGAGCTTTATCCGTGAGCCTGGTCAGTGGAATATTTAAGTTTAGATGTTTTCTGGTATGCATAAGTAGTAATCACTCAATTGATGTGGAATTATTTGTCTATACATGATGTATTTTTGACAACTTTCTGTGGTTTAATTAGTCATGGTTTTATATCTAAGGTCTATTGTTGGTCACTGAAGATTATTCTCATTTGTCATATGGTGAATTTCAGAAGGACTAAATGATCTTACAAACCATGTCAAGGATATACTCAAAGGCTTGAGAGAGCTAAAGAAATCATCCACCATTGCTGTTGAAATGCTAAACCTTTTCTCAGAAGAGCGTGAATCAAGTGCAGTAAGTTTCTGGTATGTCCTTACACTTTATTTCAGCAAAGTTAACCACCCTAATCCTCCAAATTTTACTGGTATCAGGATATGTGGAATCATAAAGAAATTGTACAAGAGGATTGCAGTGCTAACGGTGAAGTCAATTCAATTGTGTTCTTCAGAAATATAGTTTTTTCCAGTCATACAGATGGATCTATAAAGGTCTGTTTTCATAGGTTCAAGAATGCTTGATTTTTCCTACCTTGTGAATTGTAAATCAATGATTATTCCTTTTACCACTTATGAGTAAGGTGTGAATCATAAGCTTCTAACTATGCCACACACAAAGAAGAGATCAGATGTGGTATTCCAGGGTAGTCTTTGCCAGTGGTGGAATGCAAGATTTCCACTAAGGGGGTTCAAAAAAGAAAAAAGCTAAAAAATCAAAGGAAATTGTAGCTAGTTGGAATGGAACCAATGACCTCACAAAGATTTTGAACTCTCTTGACTAGTAAGCTATGCTTTTAGGCTATAACAAGGGAACTCAAAACATAATATGTATTATATATACGGTGTAATTTTTCCGCCCGCTTAAATACGCCCTAATGCCTACCCCTACATATCATGAATTCTTGTTCATCAAAAATGTATTAGAACAATGTTTGGGTAAAAGTACCTTGGTAATGTGAGAAATTGTAGTAGAACAAAGAGCTTGCAGAGCTGAGTTTGATGGAAAATTTCTTTATCTTTGAAGGTGTGGAAAGTAAAAGCTAAAAGTTTACACCTCATTCAAGAGATCCGAGAACATCTCAAAGCGGTGACAAGCCTGGTAGTTGTACACTCAGCAGAAAAATTGTACAGTGGTTCACTTGATAGGACTGTGAGGGTAAGATATATATCCCACAGATTCGTAACATATATATGGTTTATCTCGCTAAACCTGTCTAAATTTTCACTTGTAGGTGTGGTTAATCCAGGATGAAGGAATAGAATGTGAAGAAGTTCATGAAATGAAGGATCATGTCAATAACCTACTGGTTGCAAATAGCTTGTCATGCTTCCTTCCTCAAGGAAGTGGAATTAAGGTCAGTTGGCCATGCTCTTTAAGTAGAAAATTTTGAATGTTCACTTCACATTTTGTAAAAACAATAAACATTGACTGGTTAACCTAAAATCAGGTGCATTCATGGAATGGAGCAACTAAACTAGTAAATCAACAGAAGTATGCAAAATGCTTGACTCTTGTTAAAGGAAAACTGTATTGCGGATGTCTTGATAACAGCATACAGGTTTAAAAAAAATTCCATTGGAGAATTAGTTTGAGAGAAGATGCACCTAATATATTTTACTCATCTATAGGAAGTTGATTTGCCAACTGGAACAATTAATTCAATTCAAAGCGGCTCAAGAAAATTATTAGGGAAATCAAGTCCAATTTATGCCATACAAGTTAATGAGGGACTACTATATTCAGCTGGTACATCCATGGACGGAGGAGCTGTGAAGGTACAAGCGTATTATAGATAGTCATTAACCAATTTAGTTTGAATATACTCATTAACATCCTAAAATTTTCTTTTATATATTGTTTGGTCAAAAAGATATGGAATACAGAAAATTACAGTATGGTTGGATCATTGCCATCTACATTAGAAATTCGTGCAATGGCTGTCAGTTCAGAGCTTGTCTATCTAGGGGGGAAAGGTGGAATTTTGGAAGTCTGGTGTAAAAAGAAACATAATAGAGTGGAAGCACTACAAACTGGTATAAATGGTAAACTTCTTTGTATGGCTCTTGATGTTAATGAAGAAACTTTGGTTATTGGAACATCTGATGGCAGAATTCAGGTAGACTACTTCTCTTCTAATCAGTTCTTCCTTTTCAATTGGTATCTTCTAACTTCGACCAGAATGTTCTGTTATAGTGATCCTTTGAACAAACAAATATGAATCTTTTGGTTTTCTGCAGGTTTGGGGGCTGAGTTGAATAGATTGTGTAATAGCTGGTTTTAGAGCTGAGATTGACATTCTTTTTAAGAAATAAGCAATGCAAATGTCCATATCAACAATATTAAATTACTAAAATTTGTACATAGTTGAATTTGTTACATCAATAAACTGTTGACCTTGATCTTAACCATAACGTTACGTGGTTCAGTTTGTCAATAGGAAAACTGGACGACCTAAATGATAATTTACAGCATAGCACATTGCCTTAATATTCCATTTCATGAAGACGAGGGAGAAGATATTACGCCTCGTGGGAATATGCCCCTTAAAAAGTTACACTATGGTTCTTCAAAACAAGTTCATTATTGAAGTAGAATAAGTTCAATGCTCAATAAATCAACTTTGGTATAATAACGTCTACAAATGATGATGAACCAAAACTATAGAAAAAATGTAAGAAAATAATAATAATAATAATAATAATAATAATAATAATAATAATAATAATAATAATAATAATAATAATAATGACAATAACAAAATAACAATGATAATAACAGTAAATCAATAATTATAACTATATTAATAATTGTTTACCTGAAAAATGGATAGAGTTGAATTTATACATAGTTCTAAGGACATGTGGTGTAATTGGTACAAATTGGAAGGATAAGTAAAAATATATCGAATAGTGACTGTAAAAAGAAATGAATACAAACCCAAATAGAGCAGAAAATATTTGCTTAAACGAACAGATTTTGCTATAAGTTGTGTAAATCTCTATAATCTCTGAATGTGAGAGTGTATGAATGAGTATTCCAATATGTGAATCAATGAATGAATCCCCCTTACAAATGGCAGCCACTCTAATCTAATGGAGGAATCGTACTTTGGATATAATTAAAAATACATAGTGGAGATCCCATCACTACTAGAAATTCGGCAAAAATCGACCAAAAAAACCGACCAACTTTGGTCGATAATGGCCATAACCGTTCAAAACGTGACCATTTACGTGTGGACGGTATTTTAGGGGTCGGAAAGGCATACCGACCAAAGTTGGTCAGAATACCGACCAACTTTGGTCGGTCAATTAAATTCAAAAAAAAAAATATTGCAAAACAAAACCGACCAAAGTTGGTCGGTATTTTAATTATGTAATCAAAAGATTCACCATCTGGGAATCGAACTGGGGTCTGTACAGTGGCAGGATACTATTCTATCACTAGACCATTGGTGCATTTTATTTTAAGACTGTTTTTTATTTGATTTATACTCTTTAATTGTATTTTCGCACGAAAATAACCGATCAAAGTTGGTCGGTTTTATTAAAAAATAAAATTACCGACCAAAGTTGGTCGTTTTTTAAAATGACCGGCCGAATTAACCGACCAACTTTGGTCGGTTTTTTTAATAATAATTTTTATTTATTTTAATTGAAAAACCGACCAAAGTTGGTCGGTTTCTTGAAAAATAAATTTCGCAGGACTCAAAAATAGTTTCTCGCATTTTTGTGCAAAAGAAAACCGACCAAAGTTGGTCGGTTTCGTAAAAAAAAAAAATTAAAAATAAAATATTTTGAAAAACCGACCAACTTTGGTCGGGTTTTTGGCCCTTTTTTTACCGACCAAAGTTAGTCGGTCGACCTTGGTCGGTTTTTGCCGAATTTCTAGTAGTGCATGATAGATTAATCAATTAGTTTTTCCTTGATTTCTACCGAGATTCTCTCCCTTAGTGCGACTATAACGTTTTGTTGTCCCTTGACTCGAGCTCGATCGGTCTTTAAGTCTCGAGCTCAATATTGACTCGAGCTCTGGTTTTTGAGCTCGATTTTGACTTGGTCTCGGTATTTGATCGGTCTCTAGGTCTCTGGGTCTCGCCCTCTATTTGGGCTCGATGTCGATCGCGGCTGATCCTGACCTTGGTCGGTTTCTAGGGCTCGAACTCAGCAGCCCGACTTCACGTCCTAGCTTGATATCATAATAACGAACCTCAGTACATCATGCCCCAAACTCGATCAGTCACACGAGGGCAAACTCGATTTTGACCGTATACAAATAGTCCCCCCGTTTCTCGGAAAGAATGTGGCGAGAAATGATATAATTTTTCAACCTCTGACTAGATACACACTAACGTCTACGTTGAGCCCGATTGTGACGTACGTGACAAATGTCACGTCGGTTCAGTTACCAAGGCATTAAATGCGCGTCAGTTGATGATCGGCCACTGCAAATTTTGAACCGTCATTGTGAAATCTATAAATAGCCCCCTTCCTTCATCATTTTAAACTTTTACTTTCAACTTTTCTCATTCTATCCTTCACAGTTCTTCGTCTTCTCCAAAATTATCTATTTCTAGGTTTTGAAAATTTCTTTGTTTGTTCATAACCAAACACCAAAATATTTTAATTTACCGTCTTCTTTGTTCTTTGAAAATTTAGATGGCCAAGATATCTAAAACTGTTCCTCAGAAAGAGACTACTTCCTCATCTAGGTCGGCCGGTGAGAAACCGGTGGTGGAGACACGCCTTGAAGAACTCGTTCCCAGGGGATGTGTTATTGATTTTGATTTTAAAGTTGATAAACCCTCTTCGGTTGCTGGTCGATACGAGCCGGTATCGAGATACATATGCTCGATACTAGTAAGTTTCCTTGATGTGGTGAAGAAAGATTATAGTTGGGTAGACAAAGAGGTTGTGATACCGACACCGGAGGAATCGATCACTACCCACGTGGAAGGGTAACTGAGTGTTTACACTTACCCTTTCACACTGGATCCCCTCGATCCAGTCATCATCGATTTTTGCAAGAAATACCAGGTGACCCTCGGCCAAATTCATCTTTCTTTCTAGAGGATCGTGATCTTGATCCGTTTATTTGTGAGCAAAATCAGTGGGCTTCCCTTCACCCTTGACCACCTTATAAGATTGTATAGTCCTCGACTTTACCGAGGCGGGCTGATAAAGTTTCAATGTCGTGCCACCAAGGTGTTTACGTCGAGCATAGATGAAGATAAGGATTGGGGCTGGATAGGCCGGTTTGTTTGAGTGAAGACCTCGGACCTAATCCTGGCTGAGAGCATGCCATTTCCTGAGAAATGGAATATGAAACGTAAGTATGATCCGGTTTTAAATTTCTGTTTGTCTTACTTCTTCATCCTTTCTTATTAGTGTCTTTCTCGATGCAGCCGTTACTTGGATGTCGGGTGCGATTCCGCACCTCAAGAACTGGGTCAAAAACTTGGTCTCGACGTCAACATTTGTCGAGCGCTCATGGCGCGATTTGTGTAAGGGTCAATGGGAAGCTCGTACTCATGGTAAGATTTTATCTTGGTCTACCGATTCGTTTGTCGTTCGAGGAGACATGTTTATTCGAAGCATAAATTTACTTATCTTCTCCCTTCGCAGGTCTTGGAAAAGATGCGGTCATGAGGCCCCCCGTCTTGTGGTGAAGAAGTTCATGTCTCGAAGCCGTTGAAGGAAAATAAGAGAAAAAGGACCTCGGATTCCGAGGGTCAAAAACCTAAGAAGAGGACAGTCCGTAAGCCCAAGGGAACCACAATCCCATTGACTATGGAATCGGTCTTGCAAAGAAGAAGAAGAAGAAGAAGAAGGTAAATCTAGACTGGTGGCACGTGCACGGGCTAGCACCGATATTTATAAAGCTTTGGGACCGGTGGGGGCTGATGCTGCTTCACCCAGGTCCGACAAGGTCGAGGAGAAGACTTCGAACCGAGTTCCCGAGCAAAGGGGGACCGAGGATGTTTTACCTCGGGGCAACGAATCCGTCGAAGAGGCGGTTGATGATGGTGCAGTAACCGAGGTTGAGGTTCCCCAAGATGGAGGCGGCACCTCAAAAGACCTAATCGGGGCAATAGAGATCGGCGATTCCCCTTCTTTTCCTTCATTTTCCCAGTCTATGATGCATGACGCCCAAGCTGTGGAGGTTTATCATGGGGTGGGAGCCCATGGAGAGGAAGATCCTTTCCATGGTTATTTTGTTGGAGTAGAAGATACTACCGGTCTGAGCGATTTGAAGGCTTCGAAGAAGGTCCCGGGGAAGGCGGGGATTCCTCGTATATTCAACGAAGCTCAGCAGGCCCTGAATCGGGTAAGTTCGCTTTCTCTTTGTCAACTTTCATACTTGTATTTTTCTTCTTTTGTATAACTCCTTTTTTATTTTTTGTAGGCTTTTGCGCTCTATCACGAGGCATTTTTCTGATCCCAAGGAGAGCTAAGCTGGTCCAAAGCCGAAATTTGAGGGCTTACTGAGGAGAGAGATACCTTCAAGCTTCTCAGTGAGCAGAGGGAAGGAAAAGCAAGAGGACTTCGAGCCGAGCTAGAAGTAACTCGGAAAGAACAAACCAATTTGTCCGAGCAGGTAAAAAGAGTCTTTGAAGTTAATGACACTGATTTAGGCGTGAAGACTAACAGTTCGGTCCCGCAGGTTCAGCAAAAGCTCGATATGATTGGGTAGCTTCGTGCCGAGGTGGACGCAATGAAAGCGGGGGCCGAGGAGTGGAAAAAGAACATGGACTGCCTTGCTTCTGAAAAGAAGGCTTCCTGGGCTCAACTGGCCTCGGTCGAGGCCCAACTCTGAAGCTCGAAAGAGAGAGCCTTGGTGCAAGCCAAGAATATCGAGGAGTTCCAGTCTCGGTTAGGCTCAATGACTTCTGATCGAGAGAGACTGGCCTCGGAACTGGCAGGGCCAAATCGGAGGTCGAAATAGCTATGGCTAATGCTGATGCAATGGTGGTTGTTTACCGGTCCAATGCTAAAGCCGCTCAGGTTCTAGAAAAGAGGTTGCCGAGGCTGCTCAAGCTCGAGCAAATTGGGTTGCCGAGCATGCTAAATGCCAATCTCTGAGGGAGACTCTAGAGGAGATCCACGCTCGTGGCTTCGATCTTACAACCGAGATCGAGAATGCAAAAGAGCTCGAAGCCGAAGCCAAAGTGTTGTCCTTTCCCTATGATGACGATACCGGGAGTGTGAGCGGTTCTAAGAGTGAAGGAGGCCTCAAGGGTGAAGATGCTGCTCCTGGAGAGGACTAAGTCCTTTTAGTATTTTTCTTCTTTCTTTTAGATCGTTTTGGTCTTTTGTAGAAAAACTTGATCGGGCCATGGTGCCCTTGTAAATGATTTCTGGTATATATAAAACTTTCTTTATTTTATGGCTTCTGAATCTTTTGC